ACTTGCCCAAGTGAAATTCTGGTTACGAGAAATATTCGTGAATGCCACTTTCTTCGTAAAAACCGCGTAAGTAGGATTTACGTACAAATCTGTTCCTAAGAACCGTTCGTGAATGAGGCCCATTCATTTTAAAGCCTTAGCCCCGCCCCTAGGTTGAACCAATATTAATTGACAGGGGTTTTAGGGAAACACATTTAATAAGGGGACTTTTTATAATTATAGATTCATGCAAGGGAACAGTTTACTCATTTTATAAACCCTGTAACCCCATTGGAGTGTACCTCCTCACTCTAATGTAGGAATTCAACACCTACCAGAACAATTCAACAATATTTATAAAGTACAAATGAGAGAGTCCTTTGGTCATTATAGGCTCTACCATGCCCTATATCTCTTGCACCGACACAGGCATCCACAGTTGTGTGTGTGACAGACATGACGAACGGGTGCGCAGCATGGCTCTGGGCGTGCAGACGCCAAGTGTGCCCTCTCTTGCGCTATGGAAGAAAGTAGGGGGAGAGTTTGTGGAGAGTTTGTAGAGACCATGGTAGAGACGCTGGACCGCGGACTGCCGGTGTGCACGCGGCCATGTGCGCGGACGCGCTCCTCTCTGCAGCCCAGAGAGGGAGGGGAACAGGCGCATGACGAGAATACTCAGAATACAGTATTTTTATTATGCTTTCTTGAATATCATGAACAATACAATCCTGATCAAGTCTGTTTGAGAAGAGCTCAAAGACATTTCACACCTTGTTCAAGTACAAGTACATTATGCAATGGTCAAAGCTGGAGTGAATGTTTATTTGAGTGCTCTTCCTCTCGCCAGGTTGTTGCTTATATTCACACACAAAACTCTCTTGACCTCTGCTTATGTTCTCATGTGCTGTGTGCACGTTTATGTAAATGTTTTTTGGCTGCCTCCCCTGGATTCACGCCCCCCCCCCCCCCCCCCCTTTTTTTTTTGCTTCCTCAGTGCTCTGCTGCTTCCCTGGGCTTCCAGTCTGCAGACAACTTGTTGAGTACAGAGCAGAGCTGGTCTCTGCTCTCACTTCACTCGTGAGCCACTAGCGACAGGACACATGGAAAATAAGGTATGTTCACTCATGTTCGCTCTATGTTTGGGTCAGGATAGTTTGTCCTATAATTCTTGTTTCCTTACTTGTCACTGTGAAAGTGACAGTTGCCCCTGTGGTTGAGAGCATCATTCATTTATGTGATTGTCCGCAACAAACCTTACTTGTATTTGTTCTAAATTGTTTATTTATTTCATTCTAACATTTTGGGTGCCAACCATGTTTCGTACAAAAGTTATTCTCAATTGATACATTCGAAACTCATTTGTTTAGTTAAACTTACAGTAACTTATACTGTGATTAAACCTGAGAGCCTGCTGAAGACATTTGACCAGGTGAACAAGGTCTGTCCAGATGTTTTTACATCATTAATAAACTTCCACAATGCAGAGAATCTTAGCAAATCTTCTGTTCATGAGTTTTGTGAACAAATTAATTTGTAATGATTTCTTTCACTGCTGAAACGTCCAAACAATATGGGACTATTATGCCTGATTGGGTTTCAGTAATGTCTTTAACTTGTCCAGCTGGAATGAAAACAAAACACAGCTGAGAAGACTCCATTGACTCTCGCTGGTTATGATGGCGGGACAGGAGGAGGAGCAGTGTTGGTACTGGGTTAGGAACTCTTACTGCCTAATTATCCTAAATTGGACCCCAAGGCCTCAGAAAGACAAATATTAGCATTGGGGGAATCTTGTGTAAAAGTTTGAGAGCCAACGGTATTTGAAAGTGCAGGAAGTGGTGGAATACCTTCGGAGACAGATCTTGTTTTGGTCTCAGCCTCGTTAAAAACCTGCGCCCTTATCCTGACAGACACGTGGAGCTGACCTCTGAGCTGTGCGTCCCATAGGCCACTGCTTTGACTCAAGACCTATCACATGTCTGCACCAGTAAACAGGACAAGAAGGAAGGACATAAAAATGTCTGGAAAAGTAAACAATCATATTTTGTTTCACCAAAGCACTCAATCAAGTTGTTATGGAAAATTTACAGTATGTGGCCTGGGACACTAGTGCTGAGTCAAAGGCTTTAAAGAGGTCAGAGATCAGGTTACACTCCACCAAGGAAAACAACATAGGTATCTAGTCCAGTGACCTACAACATAAATATGTATGAATGTATGAATTTAATGTAGAGAAAAATAAACAACAGGATTTTCCATATGGTGTGTGTGTGTTGTGTTGTCTATACAAAAAAAAAAAATCAATATTTAGATATATATTTGATGATGCCAGTTACATGATAAAATTTTACATTAAGCGTCAAGCATCAAAAGTAGATAGAAAACCAGCCTATCATAAAATGTATACAAATAATATGAATCAATTTTTGACTAGCTATGCAGATACATAGAATTAACTGTATTTTTTTGTCCATATGTGTAAATATTTGCACAGATGAGTATGTGTACATATTTGCACAGTTTGTAACAGTTGTCTAGTGGTATGTTTAGTTACAGAACAGCAGCAGGAATACTGCATGACGGATATAGGGGGAATTTAGTAGATATTATGAGCTTGCGAAACCCTGGGGCCTAGACCCTGACGGCAAAAGAAGCTGAGCCAAAGACATGGTATGATTCTCCACTGAAGGGGCGGTGATGGGGAGGAGGTGGGTAGCTGCTCGAACAGCTGCTTGAAGCTGCAGAGAACTGAGAGGCTCTGTTTAAATGCAGCCATGAAGTGATTGTTGTTGAGTTCAGGTGCAGGTGTGTAGAGGAAGGAGGCAGTGTGAATTTACACTTCAGTTTCACAGTATATTTCTCTTTCCTACCTCAGCAGTGAGAATGTTGAGAGACGTTAGTTTAAAGCCTAGCGTACATCGACAGAGAAACTGGGGACAACTAGTTGCAAGGCGGCTTTTGGCAACTGAGAGGAGATGGTGGGAGATGATCAGTTGCCGAAATCGGTCGATGTGCGCGCTCTTACAACTGGAGATGATCAGTCGGTCTCCAGTTTCAGTCAGTTGCCCGTGTTCTACTTTTCGGCAACTAGTTGTCCTCAGTTTCGGAGATATGACCCGATGTGCGCGCTCCATGCGCCGCTCCGACAACGTGTGTGTATTGCGTGTATTGCGAGCCCGCAACAGTTTATGTCAGAAAACACACTGTAGTTGAGGCCAGTTGCTGTCGATGTACGCGCTGTTATTCCCGAGACTGGTCTGCTACTGGGAGTTGCCCGTTTTCGTCAGATTGTCGATGTGTGCGGGGCAGCAACTCATATGCGACGGATATAATCAGTTGCCAGTCCGATGTACGCTAAGCTTAATAGTTTAACCATTTGGAACATTTGGAGCTGTTTTTTTAAAACTGAGCTTCAAGATATCTACTTTATCTGTTCCTTCTTTGACATTCTGATGCACTCTTTGTTTAGTCATCTCCACATGTGCAATATTTCATGTAAAGTGGGGCAAAAAAGTATTTAGTCAGCCACCGATTGTGCAAGTTCTCCCACTTAAAATAATGACAGAGGTCTGTAATTTTCATCATAGGTACACTTCAACTGTGAGAGATAGAATGTGAAAAGAAATCCAGGAATTCACATTGTAGGATTTTTAAAGAATTTATTTGTAAATTATGGTGGAAAATAAGTATTTGGTCAATAACAAAAATTCTTCTCAATACTTTGTAATATAACCTTTGTTGGCAATAACAGAGGTCAAATGATTACTATAGGTCTTTACCAGGTTTGCACACACAGTAGGTGGTATTTTGGCCCATTCCTCCATGAAGATGTTCTCGAGAGCAGTGATGTTTTGGGGCTGTCGCCAGGCAACACGGACTTTCAACTCCCTCCACAGATGATTTTCAATGGGGTTGAGGTCTGGAGACCTCAAACAGCCCCAAAGCATGACGTTTCCACCCCCATGCTTCACAGTAGGTATGGTGTTCTTGGGATGCAACTCAGTATCCAAACACGACAAGTTGAGTTTATACCAAACAGTTCTACTTTGGTTTCATCTGACCACATGACATTCTCCCAATCCTCTGCTGTATCATCCATGTGCTCTCTGGCAAACTTCAGACGGGCCTGGACATGCACTGGCTTCAGCAGGGGGACACGTCTGGCACTGCAGGATTTGATTCCCTGTCGTCATAGAGTGTTACTGATGGTAACCTTTGTTACTTTGGTCCCAGCTCTCTGCAGGTCATTCACCAGGTCCCCCCGTGTGGTTCTGGGATTTTTGATCACCGTTCTCATGATCATTTTGATCCCGGGGGATGAGATCTTGCGTGGAGCCCCAGATTGAGGGTTTATCAGTGGTCTTGCATGTCTTCCATTTTCTGATAATTGTTCCCACAGTTGATTTGTTCACACCAAGCTGCTTGCCTATTGTAGATTCACTCTTTCCAGTCTGGTGCAGGTCTACAATTCTTTTCCTGGTGTCCTTTGACAGTTCTTTGGTCTTGGCCATAGTGGAGTTTGGAGTCTGACTGTTTGAGGCTGTGGACAGGTGTCTGTTATACAGATAAGGAGTTCAAACAGGTGCCATTAATACAGGTAACGAGTGGAGGACAGAAGAGCTTCTTAAAGAAGAAGTTACAGGTCTGTGAGAGCCAGAGATCTTCCTTGTTTGAAGTGACCAAATACTTTTTTCCACCATGATTTACAAATAAATTCTTTAAAAATCCTACAATGTGAATTTTTTTTTCTTTCACAGTTTAAGTGTACCTATGATGAAAATTACAGACCTCTGTCATTATTTTAAGTGGGAGAACTTGCACAATCGGTGGCTGACTAAATACGTTTTTGCCCCACTGTAGTTAGATTGTAATTGTCTGTTCAGGTTTTGAGAAAGTCAACACTTGAAGAATATGAGCACATTAGAGTCTTTGGATTGGATCAAGTCAGTTCCCATCTACTGAGCTGTTGACAGGACCATCTCTCACGTTGTAGAGAAGTGAAGCACAAGTTCTCCAGAACCATGGAGGCCTCAGGGTTTAAGGCGCCCGAGGGGGGCTGGGGGTGGATGATTGTAGCAGGGTGTTTCTTGGCAAACATCTGCACCCGCGCTGTCACCAGGTATGTTTCTGTTCTTTTCATTTAGACTCAGAAACTTACTCCATTTCTCATTCTGCCACTACCAACTGTTGACATTCACACATGGCACACATCCATAATAAGTATAAATAGGACACATCAATTTAGAATGTAGGTAATCGATCACTGTTTACTGTAAAATGTCTCTCATAAGAAGCTTTCACACTGCATGGGTCCAAACCTCTGAAGTCTAAAACCTGAATTGTACCAAATGGTGTTGAGTGATGGTTATATATGTTTATCTAATGTTTTCCTTTGCAGATGTGTGTCCATATTCTTTGTAGAGTTCCAACATCAATTTGGAACGGATTATTCGTCTACAGCCTGGATCCACAGTACCATCGATGGAATCACAATGCTATGTGGTAAGACTTTTTAAACAAAATATTGTATGCTAGGTTCTTCTTGATGTATATTCATTATATTGTGTGTTCACTTCTCCAGCTCCTTTGGGGGGTTTCCTGGGTAACCACTTCTCATGCAGGTCTATAGTGATGGTGGGGGGCCTCCTGTCCTCCACTGGGATGGTGCTCAGCTCGTTTGCCACCAGTCTGGCTTATTTGTATATTACCATGGGCCTTATTACAGGTAACGATAATTACAAAAAGGTTTTGGCTTGAATTATTTCATGGTGTAGAATGGGAAATGTATAATCGATGAATCATTTTTAGGGCTTGGGTTTGCTTTGTGTTACACACCAACCGTGGCAATGGTGGGCAACTACTTCCATGAGAGAAAAGCATTGGCGTATGGCATTGGCCTGTCAGGTAATTACAGAGCGTGCATGCATGTGTGTAATTTGTGTTTAATGTACTGTGTATGGCTCCACGTGCAGGTAGTGGCATAGGGACATTCATTCTTGCTCCTGCCGTGCAGTTGTTGATCGAGCTGTACTCGTGGAGGGGGGCCCTGCTGGTGCTGGGGGGGTTTGTGGCCAACCTGTGTGTGTGTGGGGCCCTGCTGAGGCCCATCAACTCAAAATCTAAAGCAGATGACAGGCAAGTTCTGTGTGTGGTACACTGGGCAAACATCCTGAACCAAACTATTCAGACAGGGCAAAATAGACCACCCTACAGGTTCAGTCTATATGTATATTGCTGCTCCATCTGCACAAAAGCCTGACAGTCGGCTTGATAACTAGTCTTGCCAACATGCCACACAAAATATCCAACGCAAAATTGGGACTGATAATATTCCAAACTGGTATTCTGCAGTAGAATGCATATAAAAGTCAACATGTCCAAATAATGTATTTTATTTCCAAAGGACATGGGAAAGCAAGATGACTGCACAGAAGGACTACATGACACCCACAATCGAGTCAAAAAACACTGATATGATGTCATCAGACCTTACTAAGGATGAGTTAGCTCAACTTGAGTTAAATTCCTCAAAGACAATTAAAAATGAGACCGTGGAGAGTCTGAACCTAAAAAACAAGAACTCCAATAAGAACGTTTTAGCTGGTGGCACTGGCCTCACATGCAGGGTGAGCCTCAAACCCTGTGGGCTCTGTTTGTGCCTGGAGTCACGGGAGGAGTTCAGTTCCCTGCTGCAGCCGGACTTTCTGATCCTTCTGGTGTCGGTGCTGTTCATGGCGTTTGGCTGCAGCACTCCTTTGGTCTACCTGGTCCCCTACGCGCTCAGTGAGGGCATGGAGCACCAGAACGCAGCCTTCCTCATGTCCATATTTGGAATTAGCAACATCGTGGGCAACATCACATTTGGATGGATCACCGACAGGCCGTAAGTGGTTTGTACTTTAGTACGTAATGTTGGTTTCATTCACATTTTCCAATACATTTAATTTCTGCTCCAGCACATGCACCTCATGAGAAGAACTTGGTGTGCGTTTTTGTTTTTCTAGTTTGGTTTCATTCACTACGCACAAACTTAACTTCCATGACACCATAATCTTGGCTATAAATGCAGAAATATATCATATCAATTAGCATGATGTTATAAAAAAAAGAGATATATGTTGAAAAAACCAACATTTTCATAATACATCTTCAATGATCTCACTCTGAAGATCAACTTTCCAATCCGCTCATCCACTGAAGCATGTGTGATTCCACGTTGTGTCGCATTGTGTAAAGCCATTTCACCTTTTCAAAATCTTTCTGTTAGCCACAAAATCAACGTGTACACTTTGTTACATCATAGTCGTGCATGTACAATGGGGCAGAGGGAAGACCTCTAATCATTAACTACAGGGGGAAGAGATGCACATCACACAAGTCTGTTTTTTTGTGACTTTTCATTCGTTTTGCAGTTTTTTTTTCTTGCTATATTTTAATTTTAGCCAATGCAAAAGTGTTAAGATGTTTCTATGTTTTTTGCTATTATCTGAGCTGAATATATTGTGATCTGCAGATTCCTAAAGAAATACCTTCTGTTGAACTACACGTGTGCGTTGCTGATGGAGGGTCTGTGCTGTATGTTCATGCCCTTCCTCTGCTCCTTCCCGACTCTCGCTATGTGTGTGGTTCTCTATGGGTATTTCGATGGAGCCTACGTGGCACTCATCCCAGTGGTTGTCTCAGACGTGGTTGGACCCTCATATTTGACCCCTGCTTTGGGAGTTGTCTACTTTCTCCACGCCGTCCCGTACCTGGTCAGCCCACCGATAGGAGGTGATACTTGGAACGATTACAGAAGTCTTTATCGTAGACCTGAGTTACATAATGTGTTGTCCTTCTGCAGGTCTGCTGGTGGATAGCACAGGAACATACACTTCCACCTTTCACCTCTGTGGGGCCTCCTTCATGATCTCAGCTGCAATATTAACAGCTGCAATGGTAACCAAGAGGTGGCAGAGGGCCAAGTCCACTTCTGTTGTATAATGCCTCTCTGCATGCGGAGAGAAAACCCCAGCTGGAACCATGATGCAACTCCTGATACCAAGACTTTGTACGGATGTTGTAATCATTAAAGAACAGATATTTTTGTATTTCCATAAGTGGTGCTCAAAGCGGACTTGTTATTTCATGTTATTGTTTCCACTGTTTTAGTCATTATTTAACATAAATAATGACTGGTTTTATAGATCCTGGTTGTATTCAATTATTATGTAAAGGTTTTCATCGTTGTACTATTTTTGATACGTTTTCTATTACAATTGTGCAAAAGTAATTTTTGTCAGAATTGTATTTAATGCACAACTGACCTGTAGCTGTATTTTTACTGTGACTTTTTAGTGTTTTTTAAATTTTGATATAATGAACTTTTGTATTTTTGTTCACCTATAATGGGCAACAAATAAAATATTTTTGAGGTGGGAAAATTACTTTGGTAAAAAAGTAAGTTCAAAACACTTTTAATCGCAGTGTCCACATCTTTTTTCGATGTATAGTTATAACTTGAAATGTAAGACATCGTTTACTCCTTTTGGTTTGTACAATTATGTTTTTCCCCCACTTTCCTTCAACATAATTATGCACACATGTTAAAGGCACATTCTTCAGCCTCTTGGTGACGACTGCTTTTTGTGAAGTGGTCTGATACCTGCTTCTGCCACAGATGTGTTATTGAAATGTTGCTAAAAAAATACATGATTGTTTTCTACGTAAAATGAATAACTACTGTATACATAACCAGGCCAAATAACCATTTAGATGAGCCAAAGCACAATTTAAGCAAAAATCTACAGAATATCATATTTGCTTCTCTATTATGCTAAAGTTAGAGATTGTATGTTAAATTGAGTATGGAGCTCTAGTTCACTTATCTTCCTACTGCCCTGTACCTGGTGATGCAACACTGTAATGTCCCCACTGTGGAGCAAATGAAGGATCTCTTAATCTTAGAAAGTAAAAGATAAGAAAAGATTTATTATAGGTGTGCTGCAGAAGTCCAGCAGCCTGCATCAAGTGACTGGTCTGAGGACACGTGTCTGAGCATGTGTGTACAGGGAAAGTCCTCGAAGTGTTTGTTTTTTTTCTTCACTTGGGGATTCCATCTGAGAGGAAACCCCTCCTCCGCCCGACGTATCCTTCTGCCTGCATCACATGTGCGTGCAATTATGCGCCTATAAACTGTCATGTTAAGTCTGACGTGCATGGTTCTGTTACACGCATACTCTGGTCATATTGGAGAAGGATATGGAGGTAAAGCTGGCAGTGTGCATCAGTCTGAGCATGCTGTTGTCTGCATACGTTACACACAGAGTTTACATGAGAGGAATAAACCAACCTTTACAGAGCATTTGGATACATGCACTATAATGTCAGTTCGTTTTTCTAAGTGGTGTATGTTGGAATAGTTGTATAATCATTATGTTTTATTGCTTTGTTTTTAACCATAAACACAAGTATAACCTAAGGTGCAAGTGTTTTGTATAAGCCATGTTTATATTCTTACAGTCCTTGTTACAGTAATTATAGATGTGCACTGTTCTGGGAAGGTCACTCTTTTCAAGAAACAGGCTACAAAAGAAAAGTAACTTGTCCTGGGAGGATCGTGCTTTCCGTGCAACTGTGCATCTCCATCTTGTTTGTAACAAATGTAACGTTTAATGTTTTTCCACATGTTTTTCCTTTAGGGCTGACCTTGTGCCTGTAACTAGGGGTGTGAAAACTTAATAAAAGGAGTGCGAAGCCAACAGAGACCCCAGAAGCTGTAGGAATCACACTGATAAAGACTAGATTGTATGCTTGTAAGTAAAAAAGATCACGCACTTTGTCTCTTCTTCCTTTTATGCAGAATTGTTGGTGAAACCAGCCCCACAGTGTATAATTATTCATTGAGCCTCTAGGGGGAGACAGAGGTAACAAGTTGACAACCATTACTTCAGATAGTGAAAACATCCCTCCATTGTGCCCTGTTGGGTAGAGAGGTGTGTGGTCGGCACTAGATCATATACGGAATCGGGACGAAACCGGAAGTAACGATCATACTTTCAAATTAGTTTTAGACTAATAAGTCCTTAAGTGGTGACTGGTTAAGTTTTAGGTGTCTGATTAAGATGGTTAATGTTAGGGTTAAGGCTGGGTTGGGGTTATTTTATGGGAATGGCTGGTTAAGTTTAGGCATGAATAGGTAGTTATATTTACTTCCGCTTACGTCCCGATTCCGTATATGATCTAGTGCTGAACTAGCCTGGCCATAGCCATCCGTACACTCCGCTCAATCATCATTTCACTGCATGTAACGTCTGGGCCTGGTCCCTGTGTTAGCGAATACAATCGGTCGTATTTCGACCGGCTACTCAGAGAGCGCGGAAGGCGGGTGTTGTAGGTCGGTGCGTCGAACGGGCAGGTTGTAGTTTGGCAATGGCGAAGAATGCGATAGTAATGTAATTAATAGTTACCTAATGTAACTTAAGTTCTACGAATAGGTGCGTAGTCCCTTAGGACTTCGCTAGTGGGATATCACTCGTGACCCCCAGGTCACACGCCAGAGAGATCAAAATAATTTGCTCCAATCACCAGCCACCTTCCTCTATAAATGCCCCTGCACAAGGCCGTACCCCCTCTTGAACTCTGCCAAGCCGGGCTGGCCTGACGGGCTCGTAGCTAAGGGACTACGCACCTATTCGTAGAACTTAAGTTTAATTAGGTAACTATTAATTCTACGTCATGGTGCTACGTCCCTTAAGACTTCGCTAGTGGGACACAACGCGGAGGCCGTAGGAAAATGTACTCCCAACAGGCCAGCGAAGGGTGATTGGAGCTCCGCCCGAGCAAGACCCTCACACCGTGAGAGGACTCAGGGCAGAAGAAACAAAGCGTGTTACAGGGCCACTCCTACCAAGAACGCCCCCACGTAACACAGATCGTATGTCATCCGTAGTCACAGGACGCCTCTCCCAAGAGCTCCTGATGTAGACTACCAGACCGATCAAACACACATATATATACCGCACCTGTAGGGTGCCTCTCCCAAGAGCTCCTGAACCACGGCGGAATAAACCGAAGGCCCCCTCAGAAGAGGGACCTAACGGTCTAACTCAGTCCGCTGCACTCAGCACGGAATGGGCCACCGACCGGTCCGACACATCCAAAAGATAAGACCGGACGAAAGAGGAGGACGACGCCCAAGAAGCCGCACGGCAGACGTCCTCGACCGACGCCCCCCTGAGAAGGGCCGTAGAGGCCGCCATCCCACGCGTGGAATGCAACCTGAAGCCCACCGGGGGGGCCAGACCCTGTGACGCCCGCCGCACAGCCGTGGCGACCCAGTGCGCCAGCCGCTGAGCCGACAGCGGGGCGCCCCTGTTCTTGGGGCCCAGACACACAAACAGCTGACCACCCAACCTGAATGACGAGGTCATGGCCAGGTAATGCCTCAGCATTCTGATAGGACACAGAAGGTGCCGCCGCTCCTCCTCGGGGGAGGCATGCGGTGGCGGATAGAAAGCCCTAATCCTGATGACTCTCGACCTAAAGGCCGACGTGATGACCTTGGGGAGAAAAGCCGGATTGGGCCACAATTCCACCATGCCGTCGCCCTCTCCAAAGGACAGGCAAGACGCATGGACAGAGAGCGCACACAAATCGCCCACCCTCTTAGCAGACGCCAACGCCAGCAAGAGGGCCGTCTTAAAAGCGACACACTCGGGACTCGCCTCCGCCGCCGGTTCAAAAGGCGGACCCGACAGCCCCCTAAGGACCACCCTGAGGTCCCAAACCGGGGGCGTTCTCTGGAGCGGGGGCCTCCTCCTGCGCGCCCCCCGCAGAAAACGTTTAACCAACGGATGAGAGCGGGCTGTGAACCCCCCAAATCCGTTGTGACCCGAAGTAATGGCTGCCGCGAACACCGCCAAGGTGGCGACAGCCCTCCCCTTGTCAAAGAGCTCCTCTAGGAATCCCAGGACCCCCTCCAGCAGGCAACGCCTGGGATCCCAGGAACGGGAACCGCACCAGACACTGAAGAGCCTCCACCTTGTGGCGTAGGCCCTCACAGTGGACGGCGCCCTCGCCCCCTGAATGGTCTCCACCACCGCAGGGGGAAGACCCAGGTCTACGAGGCTCCGCCTCTCAGCCTCCAAACCCGGAGCCTGCGGCCGATTATCGGGCGTGAAAACAGGGCTCCTCCCCCCTGGACTAGAACCCCCGGCTCGTCCGGGAGGGCCCAGGGCTCCATCACCGCCATGCCCCTCAGGAAGGGGAACCACCAGGCATGCGGACTGTCCGGAGCCACCAGGATCACCGACCTCCTCTCCTGTTCGATCCTCCGCAGCAGGACCGGCAGGAGACGCACCGGTGGGAAAGCGTACAGCAGGCCGCCTGGCCAGGGGTAATGAGCCAGAGCGTCCACGCCTAAGGGCGGCTCGTCCGCGGCCCTTAAGGCGAACCAGGACGGGCACTGTGCGTTCTCTGCACTGGCGAAAAGGTCGACCACTGGACGGCCGAACCTCCGCCAGATCTCCGCAGCTACCCGTGGGGCCAGGCCCCACTCGTCTTGGAGCGGGACCCCCCTGGACATCCTGTCGGCCCCCACGTTCCGGACCCCCGGGACGTGGCGCGCCCTGAGAGACAGGAGGTGAAGCGCCGCCCACAGCAGCGTCACTGTCGCCATGCGATGGAGAGCGGGGGACCTGGTGCCCCCCTGCCTGTTCAGATAGGAAACCACTGTGGTGTTGTCTGAGCGCACCATCACGTGTCTCCCCTGCAGCTGAGGAGCAAAGTGCAGCAGTACCCTGTGCACTGCCTCCATCTCCAGCAGGTTGATGTGACGGGTTGAGTCCGACCAGCAGCCTCCTACAGAGCTCTGGCCGAGGACCCCGCCCCATCCTTCGAGCGACGCGTCCGTGAACACCTCCAAGTGAGACACGGCGCAGGCTAGAGTCACTCCGTCCCGCAATAGACCCGGAGTGAGCCAGAACCTGATGTCCGATGCTGCCACTTGGGGAACCCAGATCAGCCTCCCCCCGTCCCGGGAGGGGTGAAGCCTGAGGCGCGAGAACCACCTCTGAAAATTCCTCATGTGGAGCAGGCCTAGCCGCACCACAGCATGAGCCGCCGCCATCATCCCCAGCAGGGACCTGAGGCGCCGAGCGGGGACTCTGCGGCCCGCCAGAACCTCCCGGGCCAGACGGGTAATATTCATCCGTCTGTCCACGGACAATGCAGCACGGAATGTCACAGAGTCTAACTGCAGCCCGAGATAAATCATGCGTTGGGCTGGCTGCAGATCGCTCTTCCCCCTGTTCACGACAAAGCCCAGACGCTGTATGTGGGACAGGACCCAGTGCGTGTGGCTCAGGGCCACTTCCCTGGATGAGGCCAGAATTAACCAGTCGTCTATGTAGGTTAAAATTCTTACCCCTGCGCGTCTGAGCGGCTCCAGTGCTGCCTCCACACATTTGGAAAAAGTCCGAGGCGTGAGTGCATAACCGAAAGGGAGACGGCAGTACTCGTAATTCCTCTCTCCCACTGCGAAGCGCAGAAACCTCCTGTGTTCTGGCACTATGGGCACGTGGAAGTACGCATCCGTCAGGTCTATGGATGTCATCCAGTCTCCCTCCCTGACACACTCGAGGAGCTGCCTTGTGGACAGCATCCGAAACTGCCGTTTGGAAATGCACTCGTTTAACACGCGTAGATCCAGAATGGGACGCACCCCGCCTGATTTCTTTGGCACTAAGAAGTAAGGGGAGTACAGCCCCCTGGTGGCGTCCTGCGGGTCTACCTCCACTGCTGCGCCTCGACTCAGCAGAGAGGAGACCTCCGCTTCTAGTGCCTCTGTCGATCCCCGTACCTGAGAGCGTACTGCCCGTACGCCTCGGAATGGTGGTGGCTTTCGGAAAAATTGCAGAGCGTAACCTCTGCGCAAAGTTTTCTCCAGCCAAATATCTGTCAGCAAGCCCTGCTCCCTCCAGATGCTGTAGAAGTCTGTGAGGGGCGGAACGGGAGCTGGAACACGAGACGTCACGGCCCCGCCCTCTCCTGGTGTTCCTAGCACGGAGGGGGGGTGGCTGAAAGGGCCGGGGGGCCCCCTGCGTCACACCGTGAGCGCCGGGGGCGGTCACGTGTTCTGCAGGCCCGACGTCATAAGTACGGGACTGCTCACCACACGTGACTCGGCTGCTGTGCCCCCCCCTGGCTCTTGCCTCATGGAGGGGGGGGCGAGCCCCTGGAGTGGGAGACCCCGTGTTAGCCTTGTAGCTCAGAGATGCTAACACGCGTTCGGCCGAAGCACACACATCATTACTCACCAGATCCCTCCGCCTGCCCTCTCTCCGGGAGGGCAAAACATGAACCCGTGAATCGGAGCTCGTGGCCCGCGTAGCACGCTGCACGCCCTTCTCTGGGGGCTGCAGGCCTAGCGAAGCCACGTTATGTGCTCGAGAAGTAACACAAACAGAATTCAGATCATTTGACATGTTACATACCCCCAAATGAGACTCAGACAGCGAGTACTGATGAAATGCCGGACGGCTTTTATTGAAAGAATTCTTCCCACCCCGACCTCCTCTGCCATAGGGAGGTCGTCGGTGGGTGCGTTGGTCCCGCGAGCCTCCCGTGTGCCTGTCTGGGCCCGGGGGCCTCGTCGGGGGGGGACGATAAGCCACGGAGCGTGAATATGGACCAGGGCGCCTCCCGGGCAAACGCTCCCTGCCTCTGTCTCGGCTCCGCGCTGGTGGGCGGGCCTCGCGCCTCGGCGCTAGGTGCTGGGCTAGGCTAGCCGAGTCCTTGGCTGCGGTCTCCAGTCTAGCCACCAGGGTCTGCATCTCCGGACCGAAAAGAGACGTCTGGGAGATAGGCAGGTCCAACAGCTGCCTCTTCTCCGCCTCTCTGATGTTCGCCAGCCCAAGCCAGAGGTTGGCACATGCGCAGGATCGCCGCTGAAGTGGTCCTCGCCTGAGATAAGGTGTCTCCACTGAGCGCCTGGCCAGAAGAGAGCGACCTATCCAGGGCCCCCGTGATGAAAGCCATGTTGTTCGCCACAGCGACGACCTGTGCCGCATTGGCGTAACATCTGTCGTGCATCGCCAAAGACGTCTGGTGCCGGGCCACACGGATGCGGAGGGGTGCAGGGCCATGCGGACCGAATCCTCGATGTCCGGGACCCCGCCGGTCCAGGACCAGTCCTGCACGTTGCAGTACATACCGTAGCCCAAAGCGGGCCTCTTGGCCGTTAGGGGCTTTGGCCACTCACGTGTCGCGTAATGGACGATCGGGTCCATCCGCGGGCACAACGTGCGCTGCGTCCTCCTCCTCCCTCGAGGGGTGGCGTAACCCGAGGTGAAGTCCTCCACCTTCTGGGTCGGTTGCGGTGGCAGGGGGGCATCCATGATGGCCGCCGCAGTGGAGTAGAGCCCAGGCATGTGGTCCAGCGGGAAGCGGTCCGGCTCCGGGTTCGACACCACCTCGTCCAGCGTGAGGAGAGAGCCGACCTCCGAGATCTCTCCGTCCTCACAGTCACCCCACTCCGCGGGCACGGGTGGAAGGTGGAGTGGGGCCCAGTCAATTACAGACTCCTCGTCCTGAGAGGAGTCCGGACGGGGCGCTGTAGCGGCGTGGTACGCACGCCTGCGTTCGCTCTCCTCCCTGGGGAGAGCGAGACACGAGGCGCAGGTGGCGCTCAACGCCCTATGGCCCGGGCCCAGGCACATAAAGCAGCTGGAGTGCTGGTCCGTGCGCTGGAGCCTGACTCGACACGTCGAGCAACGACGACGTCCGACGCCGGATGGCGAAGGGGAACTCGGACAAGCATCAGAAGACATCTTTATTCTCTGGTAAAATTGAAACTGTAGATCTCAATCGGCGCCAGAGTGAAAGAGGGGGTGCGGCCTTGTGCAGGGGCATTTATAGAGGAAGGTGGCTGGTGATTGGAGCAAATTATTTTGATCTCTCTGGCGTGTGACCTGGGGGTCACGAGTGACATCCCACTAGCGAAGTCCTAAGGGACGTAGCACCATGACGTAGAATCCAGTCTGGTTCTATCAAGAAATTGAAGCCGGAGCAAGAGGAATGTTTAGCAAATGTAATCGCTGGTCAAGATTGTGGCGCTACTCCCCACGGGCTCTGTTAGCGGCAAAGGAGATGGCTAGGTTAAATGCTAAATGCTAACACACTCGGGCGCATTACATACGTCACGGTAAACTCAGATCCAATCGTTTCAATCTGCAAAAGGAGTTAACCCCTCCCACCTGTAAACGGAGCTCAATGGAGCAAATCCAGACCTTAGTATGAAATGTAATTTGTACTAAGGTGTGGTACAACCAGGCTAGTGCTGACCATGGAGAGGTCCTTTCTCAAATGGGCGAGTTCAAGAATGCCAAGGACCTCCTGCTGATTCAGAGAACACTTCGTCTCTTCATTTTGTGTGTGTGTACAGTCAAACATTAAAAACAGAAACATCTCTACCCTCAACATAATGCATGTTATATTTGACTAAAAATAGAAAAGCCTCATCTAACAGTGCAGGTGAACACATGGACAATCTAATATTGTAACTAACAGGCGTAGTGCCCCAAAAAACAGAAGAAACAAATGCTTTGTACCTTTTCTAGGTTCTTGTTAAGAACACTAAGTTTATCGTTCATCAGTTTACCTTGATGCCAGGCCTTATTCATGCCATCCCAGTTTGTTGTCAAGCCATCCAAAATCAAACTACTAAATAGTAGAATTAGATAGCACGAATCCTTGAATTAATTGCACCCTGAATTAATCTCAGGGTGCAATTTTCACATAGATTTAGGAACCAATGGCAAGACAATGATGATTAAACATTAAGAGATGGGTTGGACTGCACTGTTTGTCAGGCTTGATTTGACACCCAGGACTTTGATGGCTTAAGCCTGCTGTACTGTGCAAATTAAATTAGACCAGTAAATACCCAAATGAGCTCCCATTTCACCCAAATGAAGATGCAGATCCGTGGCAGAGCTGCATAAAGCACAGACACCTGCGATGTTGGATAACACAGATGAAGCTGCTGATAGTGAAGACACACACAGGTGCATGTGTCTACTTACAACCACATCAATCAAAAACACTTCTGTAGATGGTGACAAAAGTACTCCACGAAGCACAAGAAACTCCCGCAGAAGCTTTGATGAAAAGGGCAATTCTACAAACTTATTTCCAAAATGTTGTCTGAATATAGGTTGCTCGTGTTCTGTCATAACAAAACAATGTGGCCTTTTAAACAAACAAAAAAATCTTATGTCGGTGGGTGCAAAATGGGTGGTGGGTTTTGATAAGGTTTTATTTATATTTTATGCATGTTGTGTTTGTGTGTTTTTAACATTGCTTTTTAACTTGGCACCACCTGAAGCACCCCGGCTCCCCACGTGACAATTAGAACACCTGTGCCATGGTACAAAAGGAGATGGGGAGGGGGCGGAAGGAGGAGAGAGCAGAGAACGAGACACGGGAGAGTCCGTGGTCTGGCGGCCCAGGCCGTGCAGAAGGGTTTTTATTTTTTTCCCCATGCTTTTAGCTTAGGTTTTATTGCTTTTATTATTTTACTTGTTTTTATACATTTTATAATACATCGTTTTTAATTTGCTTTTAATCCAGTGGTCTCCTTTTTAAACCCGGGTCCAAAGAACCTGTTTTTACCCATTTTGGCGTTGCTGGCAGGATCCAGTACCACTGTTTTCAGTATGAGCAAGTAGAGGCTATGGCCCTTGCTCGGTGGATGCCCGAAGGAAGGAGGGGTGGGTGCATGGAACCCCCTGAGGACTGGGCGCACGATGACTGCGAGCTAGGAGCCGGGTGGGCCACCCTAGATCCTCGCAGTGCGCAGGAGAGGAGCACCACATCCGCGACCCAGAGAGAGAGCAACACGACGCATGATACAAACAGGGGCAGACATGGAGGCCTCCCTGGCCGGTGAGTATGGGCATGTGGTGTAGTGGTGTAGTGGCTTTCGGCCCGAGGGTCGGGGGTGTGTGGGTTTGTGCTGGCCTCTGGTGTGTGTGGTGCAGGTGGGCCCGGTCAGCAGCAGCAAGAGGACGATGGGTGCGCGAGTGGTCCAGCGCAGGAGGACGCGGCTCACCCGGGGGAGCACCGGGCAAGGAAAGAGCGAGGCACGGCGGAGGAGGCGAGCGGCGGTGGCAGAGATTCGGAGGCGGCACGGCAAAGGCGTACCCCCTCCCCAGTGATGGAAAGGCACAGGTGTTCCCTAAGTAGCAGGAACTGCTATTGTTAAAGCAGGGGGGAGTGTCGGTGGGTGCAAAATGGGTGGTGGGTTTTAATAGGGTTTTGTTTATATTTCATGCATGTTGTGTTTGTGTGTTTTTAACATTGCTTTTTAACTTGCACCACCTGAAACACCCCGGCTCCCCACGTGACAATTAGAACACCTGTGCCATGGTACAAAAGGAGATGGGGAGGGGGCGGAAGGAGGAGAGAGCAGAGAACGAGACACGGGAGAGTCCGTGGTCTGGCGGCCCAAGCCGTGCAGAAGGGTTTTAGCCTCTTTATTTTTTATCACATGCTTTTAGCCTAGGTTTTATTGCTTTTATTATTTTACTTGTTTTTATGTATTTTATAATAAATTGGTTTTAATTTGCTTTTAATCCAGTGGTCTCCTTTTTAAACCCGGGTCCAAAGAACCGTTTTTTACCCCTGTGACACTTACATGTGTAAGTTAAATAGCTGAAAGTGTAATAGTAATAATAATACATTTTATTTATATTGCACCTTACATTTCCAGGAAACCTCAAAGTGCTACAGATAAAATGTAAAGTGTGAGAGGGACGCAAATAATGACAGGGAAAAGTTGGGAAAGTTGTATAGCAGTTTGAAACTCTCAGTCTCAAAGTCTCAGTTTGAGATTAAAAGTTCTGCGATCTCGGGGACCTTACAGTGTCAACAAATGTGAGGAAGCCAAAGTCATGCACCTGGAAGTGGATGAAAAAAGTAAAGGATGCTGTAAGATTGAAAAAGGAGTCCCATCGAGAGAGGAGAGACCCATCTCAAGGAGCCTTCTTTGCCTCAGGATGGGGAAGCACTACTTTGCCAACACCAATTACATAGTGGATTTAGAGCTGTGGATAGCATAAGAGAGTGGGAAAAAAACAATGAAGGAAGATCTCCTCAATCCCTCCATCGTGTCCTGTTGAGTGGAGAGGTCCTTTCTCAAGTGGGGGAGTTCAAGAATGAAGAGGCTAATTCAGAATCAGAATCACAATCAATGTATTGTCATTTGCAGAATACGCTACATTGGAAAACAAACAGGATACACCAGGACCACCAACAGTATTGCACACAAACAAACAAAATGAATATAAACAGTGAGGCACATATACTCTAAAAACATGTTTAACAAACTACAAAGGAGCTACAAAACAGAAGCAGATATCAAGGCGGTCTGTTCAATCTCATCACGTGACTCAAATCAAATCAGTTTATTTTAGTACATTTCAAAATCACATTCATTTGTTCCTTCAAGATGTATGTTTTCTCCAATGACTTTCTTGTGCTGTGACCAAAATAGATGAAAACACAACCCTACTGCCTGTGTACTTCTCACCCCAGACTCAATTCTGGGGCAGTCAGGGGCTTTCTGTGTGGCGTATGCATGTTCTCCCTGTTCCTGTATTTGAATGACAGAGACACTATAAATCACCAGATATCAGTAATAAAATCATTCAGACTGCATTTCACTTGTAATCGAGGATATTTCTCTCCTGATTGAAGCATAAGGAATGATGATACATTCCCCCCTTTATATCATTAAAGCAAATAATATCAAAATTGGTACAAACAAAGATTTTTTTAAGTAAAAAGTTTCAAAATTGGTACAGATGTATAAAGCTGCTGGGACATGATATTTGCATGAATGATCTTACGATATCAAACCAAAGGGATTGTGACTTTCTGTCTCCTCCTGCTGGTGACACATGGAGCAGCTCTGTTCAAAGAGGTTCAGTCACTAAACTAAAGCGAGTTCTCAAATTGTTACTGGACTCATGTGTGAACAAATCACACCAACAGTATGTGTTGGTCTGATACTGTTGGTACGAAACAGTATTTGTACATTTTCTGTTGCGTGGGCTTTTTTTCTTTTTTTTTCTTAAACCACATCTTTTTACAACTTCAACAAGCAGTTTCCAATCATACATCACCCTCCTACACATTTGAGCAGAAAACTTTGAACTAGAGAGAAATAACTGAATAGAGGAACAAATACCTACAGGCTTTGTTCAGGCTGAGAAAACAGAGCTTGTATTCGACTTTAATGAAAGAATAATGTGAACAAAGAAACATAAGTTTAATGGTATGTGAAGGGATAGAGTTTGTCACTTTCAAAAGTGACTCATTGTGTCACTTTTGAAAGTGACACAGTGTGAATGTGGTGTTTGTGTTTGAAATGTAAAGCTCAAACAGAGACTGGGAACGACCGGAAACCTTCTGGGATATTCCAGGTAAAGCTTTTGTTGTGCACATTTGATCAATCTTACAATTACTTTCCCTTGCTCCTCACCTCAATGGTTTAGGTGCAATAAAGAGACATGTTGAGTTGAGTATTGCTTGAGTATTTCATAATTATTGATAATAATACTATCAACAACAACCACAATTATAGAGCCGCAAGTAGCGATGAATGGCCTTTGTACATGTCTTAAGAATACCAATAAAAGCCTGCGCTAAAACATAGGAATAAAAGGAACTTTAAAAACAGGGCTAAAAACATGGGTTCGAATGTTGGGCCGCTGTCTGGCTCTGGAGGGCTGGGACCAGTCCCACAGTCTCCCGTTGGTGGCGTCTGCGGAGGTAACACACTACCACACAGCTCTGTGTGTTTTGCTGACACTACTCTATGTGAGGCCATCATGCCTTTAAGCTGGTTAATCAAAGTACATTATAGATTTTTTAAATTTTTATTAGCACAAAATGCAGAGTTTCTGTCGTTGCTACGGCAACCTCGGGAAAATATGACTTTGACTTTTGCATAGGCTCCACCGCTTGACCGTCGTTGGTTCTCGTTAGCAAGCATTAGGCTTGTGGTGCTCGGGCTTATGCCAAAAATAAAGCTACAGCATAACTCTTAAGTATAAAATATTGTCACTATGTGTGCATTCACACGTGTGGGTCTGGTTCACTTTAAATGTACAAATTCTGCTTCCCTTGGGATAAAATGCTTGATTTTTTGGACACAGAACCACCGTACAAGTGAGCACATGTGTCTGCTCGTCACTAAAGTCTGTTATCCTCAAGGGAACCAGACTTTGTTACTGACTTTACTATAAGCTTGAACAGTTTTGTACCCTCAGGGAAACCCTGGAGGATGCAGTTACTCTTGTGACATTATATTCCACATTATTTGAAGCTGTATGAGCGTGGAGCTGACTGTTACATGTTGACCTTTCTTGGTGTAGAGTGTTTGCTCAGTCCACTGCCACACGTTGTCCAGGAGTCGTTTGCTTTGGCTGAAGAGGCCCATGCCTTGTGAACAACAGGCATCATATAAAACTGCCAGATACAAATATTTAGACTAACTAACACTTCAGTTTGTTACACTGGAGCGCCTACACTGCTTTAGGCACATTATACATTTTGTAAAATGTAGACACACATTTACACAGTTAATTAAATGTAATTTTGATTTTAATCAACAACATTAATAATATAAATATTTGATTGAATTTGATATCATGTGTTAGATGTTTGATGTCCATCTCTGGGTGAAAAAACAGGTGTGCTGGGGCCAAATTCTAGTCTCATTCTCAGGTTTCAAATGGTTCAGTATTTTCTTATGTGTCGTTTAGTCAATATGCATTCATGTGCAAAGACTTTTTCCACTCCCATACGGGTCTAGAGGAAACCCTACTTCTCATTTTGAGTCAACCCCCTCTCTATGGAAACTTCTTACACCAACATACTTTGAACACGACTATGCCACACGCTGTGCGTCTGTATGCAAATACATGTGTATAAATAGTGTCTTATTTTCATCAAACTGTACCAAACTGGAAGATTTTTTTTTCTCTAAGGAGGAAACACCAAGACCCTTTCAGTCCATATACCAACATGTCTGTATGTGAAGATGTGTTGCTTATACTTTTGAAAATATGATTTCACACCCATGAACCACCTGGATCATTTACAACAGGTCAATAGGTCTTTTACAGTTTGGACTTCTCTTTAAATGCTATTATTGATCCAGAGGAAAAAGATCATTTCTTTGACCGTGAAGTTTGTCATAGTCTCACATTATCTCCCAGTTTATGATCATGTTACATGAATTCTGTTCTCTCACTATGGCGTGGTCAATTTCAAATGGATATGGTTTTCCTCTTTAGAATATAGGCAAGGCCAGGCAACGCAAGTTTATTTATATAGCACAATTCATACACAAGGCAATTCAAAGTGCTGAATATACACTATAGATTATACAATAATCACTAGTAACTCAGCCTGATGTTTTATTTTCTTGCTGAACAGTTTTTTTAACCAGTTCAACTCAAATGACCTCCTGTATTTTCATTGTTGAGCAAACTCAATAGTTTCCTGTGGTTCAGTTTTTCCAGGATTTCACATTTGAAATAGTTCTAAGAGTGAGTTTGGATTTTTGTATTCATTTTTAACTGAGACAGGCATGCTTGAATTGAGTTATAACCTCATTAATGTAAGTAAAAGTAGCACATATATATCATTGAGTTTAGATCAATATGTATTTTGAGGTCAAAATACCAACCATCTGAATTATTTTTAGAGTGCACTAGTACGGCTGCGCACACATTAACATAATATCTTTTTGTTCAAGGAAGTGTTTGTTTACATGATAACATTATTGCTCTGCTAATGACATGGCATTGGTTTGTTTTTCAGTTAATAAAATATCAGTTTGAGTGTAATTGGTTGTTGATTCTATACTGAAGATTACAATGTCTAATTTACTCCATGTGGCTGGATGTAAGGGATGTTGTAAGAGAGGAGAACATTATTATTATTACTATTATTATTATTCTTATTATTATTATCAGATTTTAATTCTATAATCAGATACTTCAGATGGTTCATATGAGGTAAACGTGTCTATTCTAGAAAGTTAGCGCATACCATACATTTTGAATTCCTCCAAGTTGACAACAAGCTTGCTATATACTTCATCCTTCTCCAACATGTTCCAAGAAGGTGATATCACATCTTTGATCTGGCTTTACCATTACATCAAATGCCCC